CAAATGAAAATTGTGGCAGTAAATTGAATTACCCAAAACAGCAGCAGCAACAACACGGACTATCGCAGTGGAAACAAAACAATAAAAGCGACGGAAAAGGAATAAAAGTTGAAAGGACGAAACGGGCCTCCTGACTCCTTTTCCATTGTAACCACCAGTTTTTTATCCCCAAGCAACTTCTTTTGAAAATAAATAACAGCAGTGGAAAAAAGACAGCAAATGGATTTGCTGATGTTTTGCGACTGAAAGATACCTGTTACTAAGTCAAGATTATTGAAAAAATTTAAAATGCTTTAACTTAGAAAAAGCATTTTAACCGATTTGATGTTTTAGTCGTTAGTTTTTTCGCAGTGAAAATATATTTTTGCATGCAATCTCTGAGTAAGAATAGACATCCTTTTCCGTGATGAATACGGGGTAAAAATAACAAAAATAAGTGGTGGCCACTGACTGCAAAGTCAAATGAGAATCCCCGTGGGGCCGTCTACCCCCACCCATTCAGGAGTTGCCCCACGATGTTGTCACATTAGCCACGCCACGCTGTGCGCCCTTAATGAGCATCCCAGACATATGCCATGGGGCACGGGCCAGGAGTCTTGAGCCCTGAGCCCTGAGCCCTGACCAGGGGGCGTGGCCCGGGGTGCGAGAGAGGGGTCAGAGGTCGCGGGCCATGTCCTGGATGCTTTTATCGCAGTCCAAATCTCTATACTCCCGACGAACGTAAATTGGTATGTTTAGGTTGCCCTTGAATTGCCGCATTGGGGGCGAAAGGGAGTGGGCGGCTACGGTCTTGAAAGAAAAAGGACACCCCTTGCCATATGTAAATGTCTTCATTGTTGTTCATCCAACACTGACACTGACAGTTGCCACGAGGAGGGGCTGATCTGCTGCGATAATAATAAGGAACATATGGTGGGTATATGGAAGGACCTCTCTCAGTGAGCAAAAACATGGTGGCAGGGGGAAAATAAGAAGGTTTACCATCCCAACTGTGACAAGCACATTCAATGAACTTACTTAACTTTACTTAAGACCTTGCTTGCTGTTTTAATAATCTTGTTATATTACACATATATTCAATTCAAAGCAAAAACAGCCAGGGAAAGTTTCATGAGTTCCATACGTGAGTTTTAACCAAACATAGAAGCCGCAATCTGCGCCACTTTGGTCAGTAATCAGCGTCGCGATTATCATTGGCATAATCATCGACGTTTCAAACATTTTGCGGCTCTCGAAGACCTAGATTGAAAATCATTTCGAAATGGCATCGAACAGAAATTCGCTGCTGGCACTGTTCCCATTTGCCAAACACCCTACTTTTTCGCCCACAAGACCCACAAATCTGCGCGAATTTTCCTCCGCACTTGTTGATGTTAATGCACATTACGTATACGCACGATGGACGTTTTTATTTCTCTCTTTTCTCGCTGCATTTCGCATTTGGCGATATGCAGCTCGCCGTCTGCCGCATAATTCTTATTTTAATGCTGCACTTTAGGCACATGCCAAAAATGAGATGCTTTTTGGACGAGGACGTTCGTGTAAATGGGCGAAAAAAATTCCATAAACCTCCAGACAGAATACAGAAGAAGTCTGCTTGTGCTATTTTTCACTGCGACGCCTGCTCGCAACGCTGATTTTCGGTTTCTCGTTTCAGTTGCGAGTTGCGAGTTGCAAGACAAGAAGTTGTCTAAACAACTGCAGATGCATGTAGGCATTGTGTTTGTGTTCCACGAATGCTGCTGACGTCAACCGCGGCTGCCACACGAGTCTGGTGGGAACCATTCGAGGGCGAAGAAGATGTTGGCCGCATCCATCCAGCCAACTGCGAATGCAATTTCTGATTCTCCCCTGCTAAGCAGAAATTACTTTGTGCAGTCTCTCAAAATTTGATAATTAGCTGTTGCTCAGGGAAATTCCGGTAACTGAAATTGGAGACAGGCGAAAGAAAGCAAGAGTATATACATACAAAGGTGTCTAAAAGTAGGCAATCATTTTATTAATTCCTTCCTCATACTAAGTAGTAATAATTTATGTATATTAGATACTTATTAAAGCACCAGATAAAATTGTCATTTTCCAAATGAAATGGTTGTAATGCTCTAAAACATATTATACAAATGGATTTAATTAAGAGCGAATGCTTTTAAGCTCCATTTTCACCGTTCATTGAATTGGCAAATTTGCATATAAAGCTGATATTATCCGCTAGCTAAATCTTTTTTACTAAGCTATAGCTGCATAATCAAAGCCTTTTTCTATACGTGTTATTTCGTTTATTTTTCTTTAGCACGACTGGAATTTCTCTAAAGTTTTTAAAATAACATGCCTGTCCTGGCGAAAATGGTGTGCGATTTTCGGCCCGCTTCTGTGTGCTGCAGTTTTGCTCGATTTGCGGCAAATTAAGTTGGCCTGGCCAGCAGACCATGCCCACCCATCGGAGCACACCCACCCACCCACCACCCACTGCCTTTGGTGGTGCATTGTTCACGACGTCGTCTGGTTTCGGTTTCGGTTTCGGATTGGGGGTCTGGGGTCTGGGGTCTGGGCTCTGGCTGCTGCCCAAAAATGCAATAAAATTAAATGTTTTTGTGTAAAAACTTTATGACTTTGTGTTTATGTTCGCAACACGCTCAACTCTCGCAGCAAGTTTCGTGCGTTGTTTTTTGGACTTTTGGTCGGACGCCTGGCCTGCTTTAGTTTCTGCGGCTGATTGGCAATTGTTTTTGCTCCGCAGCGGCTCCTCTTCTTGGCCATTTTCATGGCACTGGTGGTGGTGGAGCTGCCGCCTCGCATGTGTTGACAGTAATTAATTTAACTGGCATAAATGAAATTTATACGAGCAGTACACTTTGGTACACTTTGGCAGCCAGCGAATGTAACAGTTTTTCAAATTAGCTTAGGCAATATGGAAAATGCCATAAAGACGCCTCGCATAAAATGTGTTCAAATATAATTTAATATGCTTGTATAATGATAAAGCTAAATATATATGAAATATAGCAACATTTTACACATTTTATTTGTTATTAATAATATATTATTACTACGCAACCCAATTATGTGACTACGTTTTTCAGTTGAAATGTAAATGTAGTTTCTAAATTTCTTATGTATTTAGACTTTGTTAAAACGCACATAGTAGCAAATTGGCTAGTAATGTAATTTTGGCAATTTTTAATCCGCATCATCTGCGGAACTTAGCTCGTCATCAAATTAGCGCTCGATCCCAATAAGAGCCCTCATCCATAAGCCAAGTGATTTCATACTGCCCACCAATTATGGTTTCACTTTTCGCCCTTCGCCGGAGTTTTCTCTTCTCGAGCAGCCGCAGTTCTCCTGGCGGAGCGCTCCACTGGAAGACTGGTGAAATCATCGAGTGGCAGGCACGTTCGCCCTTCAATTGGGGGGCGTGCGAAATGCATCATAAAAATCAAATATGAAATATACTTTTTAGCAGCTCACGCTTTTTGACAACATCATTTGGGGAGCTGCGCGAGGTGTGCCCAACTAAATGCTTATTAATTATGAGTCTGCAGGCCGGCATTCCATAAACACCCGTCCAAGTTCCGCAGAGGTAATTAACTTAATTATCGCCCTAAAAAGAAACTTTTTCGCCCAACTGTCGTAAAACAAGAGATACCAGAGGAGTGGTAAGCCAAAAAGCAGTCATAAACAAATTAAGCTGCCAACTCCAATAATATTGAACACTTTATCTGGCAGAACAACACGATACTTGTAATTATGAAAAAGGGAAAAATAACCATCCTTTCAAACTGCATTAACCACTGCAATGCACAAAATCAAGTTAAATATTCAAATCCCGTTTGACCTCCTGGACCAGGCTATACATATATTCATAGCCCCCATATCGTCATGTGGAAAAACTATTTAAATATCAGCTTTTGTGGGGGAAAAGTGGGGGACAGCTCCCGCGATTGATTCACACAGTGAACTTCCGCAGCCAGCGAGCAAACAAAAAGTTTACGCTTCATAGCACAAATTGAATAAATCATTTGACGTTGTCGAGCAGTCAAGTTGGGAAAATGTGGGCGGGGCTGGAAAAACCAGGGCTAAAAGTTCGTGGGTTCACATAATTGTTGCGCAAAACTGACCAAAAATAAGAGCTCTTCCATAAGCGCGAAATTCGGCGAAATTCACTGATTTAATTGAAAATAAATCGAATATGCTTAGCCTTAGAAGTGAAGCAAAATGCTCTGCGGCATGGAAAATTCTAAGACGTAACCAGCTTTGAAAAGTATCTTTGTATCTACGTGGTAATTTTAGCGATATTTCAGCGAGTTTTGATATCAACCCAACAGGCTATTACACTTGACTTCATAAACACCTCCACAAGCACTTTATTAGCCCATTTCTTAGCCAAACATGAAGTTATACCACTTGGTGTGCTTGTTGCAGCACGGCCACTGGGGAATGCTGCAGCTTTTGGCCGGACAGCTGCAGCAGTTGGACCACACCTCAACCAGTTGCATCAGGAGGAGCAGCGCCACCAGCCAAGGAACGGAGGAGGACAGCGACGGCAGCATTCTGGCGACTGAAATGGAGACAACTCACAACGAGGGACAAACTCGAGGCACCTTGGAGGCCTGACGAATCGCTGAACCGAATGGCGATGACATAAGCGCATCAGCAGCTGCCGCTGCAAATGCAAATGCAAATGCAAGTTGCGGGAGCAGAAATTGCACGGACCAAGTTAATACAGACAAGGCCGAAGTGTAATTGCGAGTGTCCGTGCCCCGTTTCCGATTCCGCTGCACATTTCCGTGCTGGCATATGCGAAAAGAGGCGTCATTCATTGTGCAACTTCCACGCCGATGGAAGCACTCAACAGAAGTCAAATAAGTGCGGCAAAACATTAGTCAAATGCCACACGTGAGATCTGATTGCAATGGAAAACCAAGCAGACGCTTTAAAGACCGCGTCGCATTCATTAGCCAAACCGAATTGATAACTCAAAAAGCCCTATTCACTTCAGAGCTATTTAAAAACATTGTGCTAATGCAGTTGACCCACTTAATATGCGGCCCAAGTGTTCTGCTCTTGCTGGTGCATTTGTCGGATGGCGCGAAAAGAACTGGTTTGGCAACTTCCTTTAGGGTAAAGAAATGCCTCAACGTCACGGCCCTAAAGAACGTGAATAGAAGAAAGGTAAGAGTGGCAGCTATTGCTCAGCCAGCAAATCTAAGCCTCTGATTTGCATTAGTTATTGGGTGTTTGGTTCGCCTATGCAACTACTCCTGTGAATATACCCGTCTACAAACGCCGTTGTGCTTCGTACAATGTTCAGGATAGTCGTAAGTAGTCACATGCCGCAAAACTGCAGTTTTTATTTATATTTTCTAATTTTGTTAGCGTATTTCGATACCAACATCGTGTACACGGACTACAAGCACGTGGTGATCACCTATGCCTGCAAGTACAACAATAAGAACATGCTGTACGATCGTAAGTAATAGGGATCAAAAGTACTGTAGATAATATGAATTCATTTTATGGTTTGTATCTAATGCATCATTTTCAGTTAAGTTGCGCGTTTTGACCCGCACTCGGACGCCTTTGGTGACACATTTAAACAATGCTACACTCTTTCTAGAGGCACATTCCTTTCCAATTAGTAAGTTGGACTTCCCCAAAGCCAAGGCGTTTTGCTTTGAGTGGTACATGTTGAAATATCACTTGAAAAGCAGACCGGGACGATTCAATGCCCCCATCAACCGGGTTTGGGATCATTGACGATGTGGCCGTTGATGACAGCATGAATTAATTGCATAACTATCGCTAATTATTACAACATAATCAATGAAGGAGCTGCAGGCGTGGAGAGGAAATCGTATAAATTAATTAGCTGGGCTGGCCCAACCAAAATCAATTACCAACGACAGTTTCACTTGACTGATTGGGCCCGGGTCCTTCAAGGAACCCAATTGTGCTGATTTCAGTGTCCTTGCTCCCAAAACTCACAGACATATTCATATAAATACATACGTGTACATACATATATCGACACTAAAAGAAATTTGGGCATACTCGTACAGTTCATTCTATGCCATTTGCAGTCAATTTGATTTCCATTGGTATACACACAAATGGAATCTAGAAAGTGCCTTTCTTGAACTATAATATAATATATAATAATATATATAATAATAAATTATTATTACATTTGAAATAAAGTTCAACTGTTTAAAGAACGCAATCTGTATATTTTAGCAAAAATTAAATTTCTTCAAAAAATATAATATATATAATATACATATGGAGAGCAGACAGTTTCCTGGTATTGAATTGATGCCTTGCCCATTCTGGCGACGCTTCAATTCAATTTACCGAGGGGATTCCTCTTCCGAAAAAAAGGGAAACTTGGAAATTTCTATGGGCCTCCGAAATTTGTGTGTCTCTGCCCATTTTCATTTTCACATTTTTTTCCGGTCGGCCGTTTGGCTTCCTCTAGCCAAATTGCTCGGGCCAGTCTCAAATTGGCTTTGGGGTCCTGGCTGTGGGCAATAAAATCAAACCCATACTGGGGCCCACTTGGCGTATGCGTAACTCACAATTATCCCTCATTGTGTGGGCGTGTCCCCACAGGCTTGGCAATGGGGGCATGGATAATAGTCACTACCCAGGGATAATTGTCATTGTCATGCGAATTTCGGATCCACAGGACATGCGAGTCTCGCTTCCGCCTACTACAGCTATCCCGCTGGCCAAAAGCCCCCGGACAATCCAATTCTCGAATTTCCATTTCCATTTGCATTTGCATCTGGCTGAATGCCCATATTTTGCGACTAATTCGTTTGGACTTTAAACGGCTTCCTCGACTGAGTTAACCCACAGTGACATTTGTTTGTTTGCTGTGAATTGAATTGCCGTAAGGCTTTTTGGTTAATTTGCTTGGTCCTTGTGAATAATTAATGTGCATTTCAAAGTGAAAGTCAGAATTAAAATTTAAATAATATCAAGCCGCGCTGTCGAGATAAGTCGACTTTCGAGTGCATGATGGTTTGGGCACATCCTTCCTACGACTAACGATTAACTACGCTCATAATGCTGGTAGACCAGCAAATAAGAACAAGCTTTATGCCAATCAAACCCCAGAAGCCGCAGCAGCAGCATCTGCGCAGCAACAGCTAAGTTGCAGCACAAAAAGCCGCAGCAACAGCAGCAGCAACATCTGTTACGATAACATTGTCGCTTAACAGCAACAGCAACAGCTTAGCAACAGCAATTGCAGTAACAGCAGCAACATTGGCAAGAACACGAATGTAACAGTGTGCAGTATATAAAGATAGGTTTATATGCATATATATGTACATGGCTATAAGCCTAATTGATGCGCTGTTTCCAACATTGCCTGGCTTTGTTGATCTTCTTGTTGTATAGCCAACTGCTGTTGTTGCTGTTGTGGCGAAAAGCTAAAGCTGAAGCAGTTATTCAATTTGATCTACTGGCAACTGCGCGTTGCCGCCGTTGCTTTAGCCATTTGCCTGTCCGTTGTCATTGTAACAATTTTATGGTTAGTACGTTTTTATTTCCACAGATTTCAGTGATTTTCTCTAGTCTCTTTTTTGTTTTTTGCTAAGCAGCGCCAGTTTTTGTTTCGATTGCATGACGCATTTGGCGATTTCAAGTTCAAATCGCTTTTCATGGGTCTTTATGTAATCACGTAAGCGTCATTTGTGGAATACGTTTGCGAGAAGCAATCTTTGCATCCAGATGATGACTGTGACTTCATGCAGAGTGCGGCGCTCCTAATAGAGTTGCATTTAAATTAATGGCCCGGGAACTTGGATATCGAGATCTGTGAATACGAGTTGTTAGCTGGCGCTAGCCAAAAAAAAAAAAAGAAAAAAAATCTTAATTAGCCAAAGAAGTTCTTTTGGCCATTTGGTGGGTTTGGCTTTCTGTCGTCATTTCATCTGCTGCTCGACTGGTTCCACCAGTTTCCGTTTCATTTCGATTTCGATTGCGGTTTCGTTTTCGTTTTAGCTTCTTTCACGTCCAAGAACAAGAACAACAAGAGCTCGAAGACAAGATGCTGAAGACGCCGCCAAAACTAAAACAAAAAGAGCAACGGCAAAACGTCTGCGACAAAGTATATGAAATACAAAACAAAAAAAGAACAATAAACATTTATTGATGTGATAATCTAAAGATCAAGGTCTTCCTTTTGCCATTTCAATAAATTTTGTTGTTGAGCTGCGTACGCTTCGTGGACACCAAAGCGTTCAATCTTTGATTCCGACGTAGCAGAAACGAAACTAGCATTCCGATCCGAAAGATTGGCGATAGGACAAGCAGGAAGTGCGGAGATACACTGAGATAATTTGAGTATTTCGGTGGATTACTTACTAATTAGTTGCTATTTCAAACGAAATGTATAACGCAAAGTTCAGCTAACTTTGCGATTTATTGGGTTGCAACATATTTCATAAACCAATTATTACAACAAATGGAAATATTAGTTTCCTGTGTAGAAGCGAGGCATAGAAAAAACGCAAAATAGAGTGGAAAAAGAAAAAACGAAAGTTCAGACAGCCAGAAGTGGAGCATAAGCCGAGGATTCAGTTCAGCTTTGGGAACACCGTGCTCCAGCCTCCGGTTCATAGTCTCAGTTATGTAAAACATATGCTAAACTAATGTGGGTAGTTGCCGCAGCGGGGGCAGAGCTGGGTTTGCAATTCAAATGCAGTTTGCAAGTTGCTATTCATTGGGGGATTTTCTCGGATGCAACAGCAGCAGCAGCAGCAGCAACAGCAGCAGCAGCAGCAACAGCAGCTGCGGAATCAGTGCAAGCAGTGATGAGTGATGATTCGTTCCTCCATCCAGTCTATCGCCCACCCCTTCGCACCGCGTGTTGCTCTCTCTTTCTGATTTCAATAGACTGCCAAAGTCGGGAAAAACCAAAGCTTCTATGCTCTATTGCAGTTCTGAACTAAAAAATAAATTACAGTACTCTGCCATATAACATCTTTAAATAATATGTTTTTTGTAGATGAAATTTAATAAAATTTGGAATTATTAATTATTTTTCAAATATGTGGCTGCATATATTTAACAAGAAGAAACCTTTAAATTTTAAGCTCCATTACTTATTGTGATGACTCCATTGACTTCTTCAATACATTGCAAGTCAGGCAGCACCCGTAAATCTTTTTCGTTATTTGCATAGTCGTCAAAAGGTTCAATTTTTCAGCTACCTCATCGATGCCTCGAATGATAAGCCTTAAGTGGCCGCCTCCATCCTTGATAGGCAAGTTGCCATGCCCGAAAGGGGCAAAATAGAGTGGCAGACAACAAATCCGAGTCAAGCGTTCAGGCAAACAAATGGTTGCCCCCAAATGAGGAAAAGCGAAGAGTCAAATGCTCACACAAATATGTCACGCACAAACAACAAAACGAACTACAAGAAATACGTAAAAAATAGGAAACAATGCGAAAAAACGAAATTCTTCGAAAATATACGTAAGAGCTCAAATAAAAGGGAATGGAACTAGGTTCGTCGGGTTCAAATGAGGCGAGCCAGAGACACAAAACCCAAGGAGCGCCTAAAACTTTTTCCATCGCCCATTTGCCTGAGTCCACGAAGAAGCAACAGCTTCGTTGTCAGCCAATGCGATACAAAAAACGCAGAGTTCTGAAGGGGAAAACGCAACCGAATCGGAAACTAAGAAGAAAGCCTCAGGCCGACTGAAAAAATATGCTCAAGAGGGCGTCAAAGTTGACGCTTATCTGCGCCTCATTTGCCAAAGGCGGCAACAAAAGCCTCATCAATTTCAAAGGCCTCGGCCGCCGGGGCCCAAGATTGAACCACTGACAGCTGTCCGCAGGAGGAGCAGATGGAACTAGATACTAGATACATTATATGCACAGTGGCAAGGGGATGTAGCGCAAACCGACCGTGAGATACACTCTTTCCCTTGAATAATCAACATGGAGCGCAAATATGTACCATCAACAATCGTTGGAACTGCGAGACTGCGATCTGAAAGATACTTCTGAGATGCAAGACCAATGACAAGCGGTTCGTGGATGCCGAATACCTATGCTCTGCTCTACAAATAGCCAAATTAAGAGCGGGCACAGTGGACACTGTCGCGCCAAAGTTCACTCAACTTTCAACTCGTAATTTGTCATTGTGCCAGGCGCCGCGAGTGGCCAACTGAAAGCGACTCCCGACAGCTGCCACCGCCTTCCACTTTCCAATTTTCCCCATTCATCCCACAGTTGTGCTCAGAACTGGCGCAAAAAGTGTTTGCCACGGACAATGCCATCGCTGGCCAAATAATAAATATTAAAATTGCTTGCGGCAGTGGCACATTCTCACCGGCATTTCAGAATCCCCAAAAAATCGTAACAGCCTGCTGCCACTGCAACGCTGCGTATACGCAATAAAATTTATGGTAATGCAAAATACTTTGGACTGTCGCATTTTTGTGGAGAAAACGGCTAACGAATGTCAGATCGCAATGAGGCTCTGGGTATGTGGGCGGTGATTAATTTGCGTATTGTTCTTTGAGATATATTTCTCTTTTCAATATACGAGTATTCCTTGTGCCCCTCATTTTATTTTTATTACTTTCCCGTCGCGACATTTCCCCAGATGCTTTTCGGCTCGGCAGCTGCCATGTGCATTCAGCGCAGGCTGCTCCTCCGGATGTTGTCCGCACTCTTAAGTGGGTAAGGGCATTAAATGATTCCGGCTGGGCATTGAAATCCGCACCTCGCAATTGTTGGGCCTTAGCTACTTGCCACTTTTTATAGATTTATAGATTATGAACAGAGATTTGACAAGCAATCATCTAAATATATAACATTTAATTAAGGAATATTTGTATAAATTAGCGAGATTTTTTATACCCCTGCATAGAACTAGAGAGCTGCCTTTGATTTGTGCGGAATAAATAGCATCGCATTTGTGCAAATCTATATTTATTAGAGCAATCTGCGGGCGACTTTCGAATGCATGTATTTCGTGCAGCCTTTTAACTTTTCCACTCATTTTCCGCAACTTAAATCAATTTGCCCTTACTTCGAGCGGGCAGCATGGGGTTTTTGCTCTGGCCGGCTGCTCATCGAAGTCTGCCATATAATTTGCAATGCAAACAGGACTCATGTCCTGAATCCCGCCAACAGCATACGTGGTGGAATTATAATGGAGGGCGAAAATGTATATATGTGTATTGGTTGAACTTCCACTTTGACTGACGATGACGAAGACTTTCTTTTGTGTCGTTAATAATAACAATAATGGCAACAACGATGGCTGCGCGGAAACATCCAATAATGAAATTTATTTCTTTCGGCGGCGCAAAGCTTGAAATGCCCTTTGGAAAATCTGAACTTCAAAAGCTTGACATGAAATGAAAATTCCTCGAATTGCTCAGTAAATTTGGCCTTGGAATGGAATTAGAGGCGGTTCCTTCCGCCACCCAATCAACATTATCGTCGTCATCGAGTCGAGTCGAGTCGAGTCGAGTCGAGTGTAAAATGTAATTTATAGATACTAAGAACTCTGGCCAACAGGTTGCCAACTGGTTTTCAAATACGCTTATAAAAGCCACCAAGAATTACAATAACGATGAAAAAAGAGCCCCAAGCGGAAGCGAACACTACAAATTTCATTTACAAACAGTCCTTGAAGACAGACAGTCCGCTGAGCAACAGCAACAGATACAGGTGCAACTGGACAGGTGAGTTCCAATTAGCACATTACACCGAAGGAAATTCTAGCCGACTTGTCTACGATATTGAAATGAAGAGGCGCTTCGCATAAATCGCATAAATATGTTAATTAGTCAACTGCCGCACGAAGCGAACGTAAACATTCAGCGCCGCTCGCTTGAATTTGTTTAGAATTAATTTCAGCTTCGTTTGATTTGCATAAATTGTGTGAATGTTTAATGGACTTGTTTGCCGCACGGCCGAAAGCAATCGAAATAAAAACAGCAGAAAGTAAAAGTTAATTATCGCATAAGACTAGAATCGTCAATTGGGTATCAACGAGAATTGGGTCAATGGAATCGGGGAATCGGGGAATCGATGAATGAAAATGGAATTGCTTGCACAACGGCATTGATAAGATTTCGAATGGCTTGGTAATTGGAGGAGCTACAAGCAGTTCCACAGCACACACTTCTTGGGCGCCACAATTGACCTCTGACATTCCGCCCGCGATTAGGCATGCGATTGTCCTCGTTTCGTAGGCAATGTCTCAAAATACCAAGAAGCTGGGCGAGAGATAAGCCAGCTCTTTGGAGGATGGAAAGGTCGCCAACAGGGGCAAACTGAAACAAAAACTAGCGCTCATCGCTCGAAATTCTAGTCTTCAAGTAAACCAGAAGCCAGAGGCCAGAGGCCCACAAAAACCATGATAAGTCGACACACAAAATGAAAGCCGCCCAAGAATCGGATTTTCACTCCGCAAGCTGATTAAATTTGTTTACTTCGTCACTCTACGTTTTTGTCTTGCTGTACAGATGATTTGATGCCCTTTTCCAGCTCTTAAGACCCATAATGACAGGGAAATCATTTCCCTTGCCATCGATAGATGGCGGGCAAATTGAATTTGGACTGCTGCTTATCTGCCTTTTGCTTAGCAATTGCCACTTATCGGGTATCCCAATACGCATCGGAATCGCAGCCAAAAGATATGGCGACTCTTGTGCCAAATATTTGCCAGATAACAGAAGTGGCACCAAGGAGGAGCACCACCCAGCACCCAGCCCAAAAAATCCAAACTCCAAGTACGTGCCGAGTGCTGGTTTCTTTGGAGCAGGCACTTTCCCCTTTGGGGAGCAGAGCTGCAGTGGATTTACGATGGAGCTGCGATTCGGGTTACGTGGGTTGTGAGTGTGTCACAGGGCGATAAAAATGAACTCGTTGAGCTGGGAAGTTGGGGCCCTCTAGTCCACGTCTCGGGTTTACACGTGCCACCAGTTGGCTGGCCATTGCTCGATGAGTTCGCTGTTATCAACGAAACCTGAGCGAAGCTCTGTCGCTTTTTAATTTCGGTTTACGGCGCCCAGTTCAATTGGTTCCACGCTCCTCGGACATGACTCAATGCGGACATTAATCATGCATCCAACCAAGTTTCAACTACCCGGCCAAACAAAGGGTGTTAGAATGCTTTTTGTTTCAGCATCGCTGAGCAGAGATTTAAGAGTCGGTTTTGGGGGGGGTGCGGAAAAAAGCAAACCGCAAAACAACAATAAAGAAACCAAACGAAAATTACTTTTCTACTAATTGCAACTCTGGAACTGCTGAGGTCATCAGGTGGATGGCGGGTACATAGAGCGGGACCAGGGGCAGATCATTTGGCCAACAGTTCAAAACAATGCACAGGAAATTCGCATTTACCCAGTGCCAGAGAAAAGCCAACAATAAACCAACAAAAACGCCGTGCAACATCAACATTTTCCTCTGCCATTGTGGAGCGGAATTTGCACAAAGCTTTGGATTGAATAATGATGCCGCCGGGATCAGAGGCAAACGGCGAAGGAATAGCTTATTTCCAGATTGAAATTCTCCTCTACGCCTGCGGCTTTAGCTAGTGATACCAACTAGGATGAGGGAACTTTGTCCATTTTGTTAAAACATCCACACCCGCAAACTCCGAAACTTAGCATTTTCAAGCAACAAATTGGTGTAAACCAAGATTACTGAAATGAGCTACCTTTACCTAACTTAGGGTGGTTTCCGAATTATATGTAATTTCCTAATAAAATGGGTTTAATGTAATTACATATAGCTCCGCAGCAGTATGTAATCAAACCTAATATTGCTAATAATTCGTTATTCAATTAATTCACGTACTTGGCGGACACAACTCTTAAATACCCAAATAGACACCACTAATTAAATTCCCATAATTCGCAAGCATAGCAAAGCTTTTCAATGATTTTTTAATTTAAATGTAATTTAATTGAATTTTAATTTAAAATGTAATCACACCTAAGATTACTAATAGAACAAGTTTCAATTAATTCGCGTACACAACTCTTAAATACCCAAATAGACACCACTAATTAAATCCCATAATTCCCAAGCATAAAAAAGCTTTTCCGTGATTTTTCCAGCCCGTCGTACTGGCGAGTAGAACCCCAAATCACTGCCCTTCGCCCAAGTTGCACCATCGCTGCCAATTGACGTGGCAGCCACCAAGCTCTATTGCATAACACCTGACAAATGCAATTCAGGCAAAATGCTCGACGAGGCTGATGATGATGGCCTCAAGTGAAAAACACTCACGCAAACACGCGACGCACTTTGGGCTCTGGATTGGGATTGAGTATGGGGCATTGAGTATTGGGCATTGGGTATAGGGTATTGGTTATTGGGTATTGGGTATTGGTTATTGGGTATTGGGTATCGGCCATTGGGTGGCTCCATTCCGTTGGGCACTTTAATAAAGTGCAGTCCAAATTGTGGGCCGTCGGGTGGCGGCAGCCCTGCTGTTGTCGGCTTTGTTGTTGCTGTCGGTGGTGCTGATGCGGTGGTGCTGCAGTTGCAGCCACCGTGGCGTCAATTATCGCCGCTGTACGCAAAGTGGGGCAGGCAAATAAAAAAAAACGCGCCCAAACGCAGTCGTCAGGCTCAAAGCACTTCATTGTCAAATGAGCTTAAGCACCACGCCCCTCGGCCCCGATTCCGCCCCTTAAGACCCACTCCCCATCCCCCCACCGCCACCACCCGCCCCTCACCATCCCATCTCGATTTCATTTGTGCAGCACTCTTTGCTGCGTTTTCGTTTTCATTTCATTTCAGCATCGCACTGCTGCGATACCCTATAAGTGCTTTATTCTGCATATGATATGGCTGGAATTTTAGGCAAATTCATTTTGAATCATTTTAACTTTCACTTATTTTGATAAAGTGTTTGGTAATTCTTAAGAATATTTCCCCACCCTGCGATGTTAAGATACAATATTATGATGTGCAGATTCTGCACTTAATAAATATATATATTATATGAAAAAAAAAACATTTGATTAATTTAATATTTATTTATTAAATGTTCTTTGCTACTCTAAGAATCATTTTACGAGTATATCTTCATTTAATTGCAAGGTAGTTTTAAAATTATTCTTCATTTATAATGCAATTTGTTCTTAATAATAATTTCCCGGTAGTTTCACATAAGCCATACAATATTCCACCACAACAATAAATAAACTATTAAAAAATCAAATCTTCCTTGAATTAAAATTTCAAGACCCATTATAGATGGAGTTACAGGGTATGCAATGGCTTTAACTGAGAAACACCTCTCCCTGGCTTATTTTTTATGTTTTCTGCAGTTTTGTTCGCCGTTTTCACGCCTCACTTGCCACCTTGTTTGCCTCGTTCGCTGATTTGCTGATTGATGGCGACGTCTGCAATTGAGACTGGAACTGCGACTGGAACTGAGACTGCGACTGCGACTGGAACTTCGGTTCCGTCTCCGCGCAGGTGTCGCCGCCTAATTAAATGAAGGCAACGCTCACGCATGCGTAACCTGCAAACACTCCCTGGCCCACTGCCCCGCCCCTCGAGCGCCGCCCTTCGCAATGCATTGTTAAGAAAATGGGTCAATATGCAATTATTGCATTTATTTTTCCATATTTTCTTTGCAAGACCTGCGGGCTCAGCTTCGTTTGCGTCACTTGCGTGGAGTCGAGAGGCGAGTTCGCAATAATCATAATATGGCTACTTCACTTGGCAAAGCAATCAACCCGAGGCCTCCGAGGTGTTGATTTTGTTAATATTCCTCCTCCTGCCCAGATGCCCCTCCAGTGTTCCCTGTCCAGCGCTCCCGATTCGCGGAACTGGTGGCAATGGAGCAGATGCATCGCTGGATGTGCAACTGCAACAGCGCACAGCTCTTTGGGTTAATTAAGCGACGCCAAAGTTGGTTTGCTCTGCTCCAATTTCGAGGTTGATGGAAAAGCACTTTAAAGGAAACTTTAAATTTATTTTGCGAAGTAAACGATAAACTTTCGTGCGGAGTTTTGGAGTCTAAAAGTTAAAAGTCAAGTTGGTAAAAGCGAAATTACTGTTAAGAAGACAATTAAATCCAAATATTACTATTAAAGTGTTTCATTTGACATGTAGCAATCGTGGCTTTCAGAAATATGTCTAAATTTGAAGCAATGTTTGCCCCGAAATAAGCACCCCTCCAAAATACAACTCCTTTTGGCCCCTCACCAACCAAATTAGGCCTTGTTTGAAAAGCGAAATGAGGGTCCTTCTGGGCACCAAATTCTTCCTGAACCTCGTAAGTTCCACGGTCTCCTAGGCACTTTGAAGTTGTTTATCTAAAAGTGAGCACTACTAGAGTAAGCACCGGATACGATGGCACCACAAGGGCAGTTCATATCTACCTACTCAGCATCTCTATGATGTTGCACAGAAAGTCGTCAGAGCCCACCGATCAGCGATTTCCTCACGATTTGTATCAGGCAAAGGAAAACCTCCAGAAACTCCAACTTTGGACATAATTTGCCGGGTATTAGCATCAGCGAAAAACTCAGGTGATGGTGGCAAGCGGAAAAAGCCAATGAAACTTGAATCCATGGGGCAGACATCTTCTAGTTCCACCAACCAGACATTGACGACCAATCCTCTTCATATAAAGAACGAAAGCCAAACGCCATTAGAACCTGAGTTGGCATACTCAAAAACCCCGGAAATATTCAACTGTAAGAACTGTTTTGAATACAGCTCGGAAATAATGATTGTGAACTGTAAAAATTGCATCGAAGATGATCAATCTACACAGTCTGTCATGGGAAAGGCGACATTACTATTACAGGAAAATAGTACCAATCAGTCAACAAGTGGCTTAAGGGAGTCTTCAGCTTCGGCATCAAAACCATCGGTTGGCGAAGCGCTACCATCAGTTGCTCCAAAGAAACCTCATGTATCACCCAGTTCAACGTCTCTCAATGAGAGATTTACCATGCCGCAAAAATCAGCTTTTCCCTTGGGAAGAAACCCCTGCTTAGACGGCAAAAAAGATAAAAAATCTAAGTGTCCGCCACCCAAACCCAAACCCTGCGCCTCAGCGAAAGATGAACACAAACCTCCGGTTAAGAAAAAGCCACCTTCAAAAGCCAAATCAAATGATCCACCTAAAACCGTTGCCAGTGCAACTGATGCACCGAAAAAGAAGTTGGCTCCTGCAAAGCCAAAGATCGCAAATCCACCTTCGAACAACCCTCAAACTTCAAATCCAAAGGTTGGATTTGCTATGCAGTCGAATTCGGCTTTTCCATTGGGAAGAAATCCCTGCGTTGATGGTAAAAATGAACAAAAAGTATCTAAATGTGCAGCGTCCAGTTCAAAGCCACAACAAAAAGCCAAGAAAGACGATGCGCCAAAAGCTGCGATTAAAAGCCAAAATAAGCAGGAAACTAAAAAAGAAACAGACCCTAATGCATCTCTAAATACAAAAGCAGCTACTGTACCAAGTGGTTCGCCTAAGCCTCGAAAGAAAAAGTCTTTGAAGCAGGGAATTGTCAATCCAAAGGAGACTCCGGTCAAACCAAGAAGTCCTCCGCTTAAATCCAGGGCTCCTCTGAAAAAGGCTCCTAAGGGGAATACAAAACCAAAGGACAAAGAGGTGCCACCACTTTCAACCTCCCGTTTTACCATGCCGCTTATGATGGCTTTTCCCCTTGGAAGAAATCCCTGCCGGGATGGCCAAAAGGGTTCAGCCAAAGAAGACAGTTCCTGCGGTAAAAAGGTAGTCAGTTGCCAATCAGAATCCGACTCCTGTAAGTCTAAGAAGAAATCAGCGGATGATCAACAAATTTCAAGTTCATTGAGCCCCGTTTTTAAGGAAGCAGATGCATCGAAAACGAATGAATCCCGCACCTCACCATCATCGCAGGCTTCCTTGAACGCTCCGCCTCCTCCAACGCCGGTCAAGGAAATCCCCAAGTCAGCTGGAGCATCACAGAATAAGGAGAAGTCGGCTGCGAAGGCACCATTACCAACAGGTAATGGTTCGCCTCCAACTACCAAAAAGCAAATCAATTCGTCTACAGAGCAGAAAGTAAGATCTTCTGCAAAACCCCAAAGTGCACGAACCAAGCGATCGAATTGCGATGTAAAAACCCAATGCGCTACAGAAGCCCCGAAAATTCAAAAGAAATGCCCGGAAACGAAAGTACGCCACCAAGCCAACGCCAACAATGGTCCATATCAGAAACCGGAGCTAAAGAAGTTTCCAGCTCTGCCGCTCAAGCAAAGCATCGCCAGCTATTTGAGCAGTATTGAACCATTTCTTAGTGAGGAGGAACTCAAGAAGGAACAGAAGTTGACCAGGAAGTTTGTGGACAACGAGGGTGCGGAACTCCAGGAGCTTCTCGAGGAAGAAGCCGAGCGTTCGGACAACTGGCTAACTCCCAGATGGACACGTTCCGCATATTTGACCTACCAGGCTCCGCTGACCGTCTTCTCCAATCCGGGTCTCTCCTTTCCCATTCAAGAGTTTAAGGGAACCGACGATTTTCTCAACTTCACGGCTAAAGCTATCTACGGCATGTGCGAGTTCAAGCAGCTGGTCGACGAAAACAAAATCCCAGTGGTCAAGATGGGTAAACATTATCTGGACAACAGCCAGTTTGGGAAGATCTTTGGCACGGTTCGCAGGCCAGGTCGATTATGCGATACCATCGAGCAGTACAGCGATGCCGATTATATTGTGGTCGTATATAATAACAATGTGAGTACTAAGCCAGTTATCATTGGCCAGTTCTTGGACCTATGAAAATACAGCAATCCTGCATAGGAAGGTTTAACTTCTATGAATACTTGATCAATTGGCTTAACTTTCTTCCCTCGCAGTACTTTAAGTTGCCAATTTATTCGGAAAGTGGTGCCTTGTTGCACGTTCATACACTGCGAGAAGCGTTGAGGGATATACTGGAATGCCCCATTGAAGTGGGCGAGCACTTTGGCCTTTTGACACACGACAATAGAAGCAACTGGGCCGAGGCATATACAGTACTTTGTCGTCCGCACGGAAACGCAGATACCGTGGAAACCATTGAGCAGTCCCTGTTCGTGGTCTGTCTGGACAACTGTGTGCCCGTTCCGAAGGGAAAGGAGCGGGTTGTCCAGGCCCATCAGCTCCTCCACGGCGGTGGAGTGCGCCAGAACAGCGCCAATCGCTGGATGGACAAAACAATTCAGCTGATAGTCAATCCAAACGGCTTGGCCGGATTTTGCTACGAGCATTCTCCCGCGGATTGCCAGCCACTCGCCATGCTGATGGATTTTGTGCAGCAGAAAGTGTAAATATATCTAGCGAAATATTTTATTTAAGCTAACTAACGCTTGTGTTTCAGCCATGAGGAGAACTATGGCTGCGAGGGCTGTGAGTCCGACAAAAAGGTCACGTCCGCTCTGTTAAGATTCCAGCCAGTGAACGAGTGCATCAATTTGTGGTTGTGCCAGGCAAGGCGAAACATCCACAGGATCGCCAGCCAGCTGCAGATGAATGTGATCCAGTTCGAGTGCCATGGCAAGTGCTTCATCAAGGCGCAGGGCCTGAATCCGGATAGCTACATCCAGATGGCCCTGAGTCTGGCCTACTACGCCATGCACCACAAATTACCCGCTCAGTATGAGTCCGCTCACCTGAGGATTTTCCACGAGGGGCGCACCGAAACCATTCGGTCCACGTCCAATGAATCCAAGTCCTTCCTCATGGCCATGCATTCGGAGAAGGCTTTGATAAGCGATAAATTGGTTGCGCTGCAAAAGGCGGTGGATGCCCACGAAAAGTTGATCAAAGAGGCCATTAACGGGCAGGGCATCGATCGGCACTTGTTTGGGCTGCAGGAGATGGCTCTGGAACAAGGAATGTCACTACCGGCGTTCTTTCGCTCCAAGGGTTACGTCAGATCGGTGACCTTTCAGCTCTTCACCTCCCAGGTAGCCACATCCCACGAGGGCTTCATGGCCTACGGACCACTTCTATCCGACGGATACGGCGTCTGCTACAACCCACAGGAAAAGAAGATCACCTTCGCCATCTCCGCTTGGAAAAGTTGCCCGGAAGTCAACGTCATACGATTTGGCAAGGCCATCAAGAAGTCCCTGAACGACATGAGAAAACTAATCCTGAACACAGGAGGCGATCGTATGGGCGAGCATCCGTGTAAATGCGAGAAGGTGCTGCTTTAGAAGGGATTCCCCTATAGATTTCTCTTTAGATACCCTCCAGTGTTACGTTTCTCAACAAGGCAAATATACACTCGTCAACCAAGCCACTTTAACTGCGTTTGGGTTCAGGGTCGTTGAGAAAACGTGCGCACATTACTCAGCCCAAAACCACACTCACCTTTGGCAAAAAAAACACCTGAGACGCGTGAAATTCTCTTCGAGAATATTGGCCTGAGTCAGAGGGAAAAAGTGTGCAGCCAACTCAGATATTTTGACATCGCCCACGGGCTTGTTAATTAGGAAAAAAGCGGTCCGGGGAGGAATAAGTAAGGTTGGGTGATTCAGCTTGGTGGTAATTAAACCGTAGAGCTGTGTAGTGTACGTAGTTCGATAGATTTTTAACTAGTGGGTCTTTTAATAGTGGGTGATAATTACTAATAAAGAGGACCTTGTACTTCCTTCGCTAGGGATGCGCACTCTTGCTATGCTCGGGTCTAGCTCGCCGTAGGTCGGGGTTCTTTTAGCTTAGGATAGTACGAACGCTACTACATTTTTAATAAGTGCGTCTTACTCATAAACAATATTCAAAAGTGGACTACCGGTTAATAAAAGAAATGGCTTTATATTGATACTAATGATACACGCCGACACGTGTGAAGATAAGCTGCAGATTCTGATAAGCATTGGGAATTTTGGATGTTAATGATTCCCTAAGTCTTTACCCTCCCTACCATGACAATGCTACTTAAAATATTTACATTGTCCCTTGGTCAAGTTCAAAATAACTCTACCACATATTTAAGAAAGTGTTCAACATAAGTACTCGACAAACCATTAAATCTATTTATTCACAATTCATTATTTTTCCAATATATCTTCAATCGTAATTCCATTTATATAAATTCAGTTTAATAAGCGGTCTCATTAAATCTCTTTTACCAACTAACAATATTTTTATCTACGCATAATTATCCTAGTCGTTCTCTAACTCTTCATTTTTGCTTATATTCCGTAAGTAAAATAAAATATATAAAAGTAAAGTATAAAGCAAATATATATAAGTAATTGAATATAAAATTAGCAAATATAGAGTTACATAATCTTTAATCAAATGCAGATATTATTTTAATTAGACGTTCGAGTGGCATTTTGTTAGAATTTTAATATAGGTAATTCATAATAAGGTATTTATCATTGTTGTTGTAGTACTCACGACCTTAAATATCCACTCCATGATGTGCGTAAAGTTGGGCCCAAGTTCACGTTGACATTGTCGAGCTGTAGGTCAAACTTTAAAGGTTCTAATTTAAATTCCTATTCAAATGCCAAAAGTTCCGTCAATCTGCGAGTATTTAATTCATTATAAATCGCAATACAAAAGAAAATCGAGAATCAAAACAAAACACGAAATATAACTGCAGTATTGCAGCGATAAGACCTTAGTAAACCGCTGGCTGCTACGCTGCGCTGCGATAAGACGAAATCACAAAGTTGGACCTCCGTTGGTCATAGGCGATGATCTTCACTGCGGGACGATGATGATGTACAAATGTAATTAAATCTGCTCCGGTCGTCTAAACTTCTGCATAGCTGAATAATCTGGACGAGCTCTAGCCTTCCAATACATTTGGTTATCATTCGGCAGGTGGCCGGTTGCGTAATTTGATGCTGAAGGTTATGTCGCCTCGTGGCCTCTTCTTGGAGCGACGGGGTTTAAACCATAAGCTGATGCGGGGGTCGACGAGACGGGGGGGTAGTCGGCTGTAGAGCAATCACATGCTCTTATATATAGGCCTGGTCTTCCTTACGCCTTGGGGTCGAATCTCGTTGCCACTTTCACACACAAATCGAACACGGAAATTTATTGAAATATACCAACTCTTGTTTTATGAGATTGGATATATATATAACTAATTATATTTCCACGTGTATGTGAAGTTAAATGGGCAGCGTCAAAAATGTATGAGCGTTCGCCACGAAGATTTATCCGATAATGATCTAAGCTCTGGGAAGCTGCATGCTGGTGGTCGCTGTTATAGCTTTTGTTTCCCTAACTGTATAATCGTACGATCATATTCTGTTCTGATTGGTCTAAGACAATTCTCTCGCTTTTTGTTTTACACAAAAGCTGCTATAATTTAGGGCGAGGGTGTCTTGAAGAGTTTTTGCAGTGTAAAGTTAAGTTGGTCCCTACAGCTGCCAATACTGCAAATATTTCATTAGAATTAAGTAGTCTACTGTCAAGTAGGAAATGCCTACAAGATCGCTGGGGAACATATCCATTTGGGTGCACCACTGACCCACTTACAGCATGAATGCGGCGCGTTCTTCTCCAGGGGCAAAAAGTCAACCCGCCTTACTTCAACATAAGCTCATATTTGCCTCGCCAGTTCTTATGCAACATTTCCTCTGCTCATTTTATTGCTAAATTAAGTAATTGGTACAAGAAGCCGCATCTCTTCAACCCCCACCTCCCTTGCAATATAAATGCCCTGCTGTGTTTGCTGCGTATCTGCAGAAGTATCTGAGTACGTGTATCTGTGTATCTACCGCTGCATCTGGCACTGCAGAATGAGAAGTGTGCTCTGTGCTCCTCTCTCTTTCGGCTCTTTGGTATTTCACTTCTGCTTTCCATAGTGAATGTGATATGCAGATGCAGATTGCAATTCAGTCCACGAACAGCCAGAAAGAGAGGACCAACAGGTAATGGTTCGCCTCCAACTACCAAAAAGCAAATCAACTCATCTACAGAGCAGAAAGTAAAATCTTCTGCAAAACCCCAAAGTCCACGAACCAAGCGATCGAATTGCGATGTAAAAACCCAATGCGCTACAGAAGCCCCGAAAATTCAAAAGAAATGCCCGGAAACGAAAGTACGCCACCAAGCCAACGCCAACAATGGTCCATATCAGAAACCGGAGCTAAAGAAGTTTCCAGCTCTGCCGCTCAAGCAAAGCATCGCCAGCTATTTGAGCAGTATTGAACCATTTCTTAGTGAGGAGGAACTCAAGAAGGAACAGAAGTTGACCAGGAAGTTTGTGGACAACGAGGGTGCGGAACTCCAGGAGCTTCTCGAGGAAGAAGCCGAGCGTTCGGACAACTGGCTAACTCCCAGATGGACACGTTCCGCATATTTGACCTACCAGGCTCCGCTGACCGTCTTCTCCAATCCGGGTCTCTCCTTTCCCATTCAAGAGTTTAAGGGAACCGACGATTTTCTCAACTTCACGGCTAAAGCTATCTACGGCATGTGCGAGTTCAAGCAGCTGGTCGACGAAAACAAAATCCCAGTGGTCAAGATGGGTAAACATTATCTGGACAACAGCCAGTTTGGGAAGATCTTTGGCACGGTTCGCAGGCCAGGTCGATTATGCGATACCATCGAGCAGTACAGCGATGCCGATTATATTGTGGTCGTATATAATAACAATGTGAGTACTAAGCCAGTTATCATTGGCCAGTTCTTGGACCTATGAAAATACAGCAATCCTGCATAGGAAGGTTTAACTTCTATGAATACTTGATCAATTGGCTTAACTTTCTTCCCTCGCAGTACTTTAAGTTGCCAATTTATTCGGAAAGTGGTGCCTTGTTGCACGTTCATACACTGCGAGAAGCGTTGAGGGATATACTGGAATGCCCCATTGAAGTGGGCGAGCACTTTGGCCTTTTGACACACGACAATAGAAGCAACTGGGCCGAGGCATATACAGTACTTTGTCGTCCGCACGGAAACGCAGATACCGTGGAAACCATTGAGCAGTCCCTGTTCGTGGTCTGTCTGGACAACTGTGTGCCCGTTCCGAAGGGAAAGGAGCGGGTTGTCCAGGCCCATCAGCTCCTCCACGGCGGTGGAGTGCGCCAGAACAGCGCCAATCGCTGGATGGACAAAACAATTCAGCTGATAGTCAATCCAAACGGCTTGGCCGGATTTTGCTACGAGCATTCTCCCGCGGATTGCCAGCCACTCGCCATGCTGATGGATTTTGTGCAGCAGAAAGTGTAAATATATCTAGCGAAATATTTTATTTAAGCTAACTAACGCTTGTGTTTCAGCCATGAGGAGAACTATGGCTGCGAGGGCTGTGAGTCCGACAAAAAGGTCACGTCCGCTCTGTTAAGATTCCAGCCAGTGAACGAGTGCATCAATTTGTGGTTGTGCCAGGCAAGGCGAAACATCCACAGGATCGCCAGCCAGCTGCAGATGAATGTGATCCAGTTCGAGTGCCATGGCAAGTGCTTCATCAAGGCGCAGGGCCTGAATCCGGATAGCTACATCCAGATGGCCCTGAGTCTGGCCTACTACGCCATGCACCACAAATTACCCGCTCAGTATGAGTCCGCTCACCTGAGGATTTTCCACGAGGGGCGCACCGAAACCATTCGGTCCACGTCCAATGAATCCAAGTCCTTCCTCATGGCCATGCATTCGGAGAAGGCTTTGATAAGCGATAAATTGGTTGCGCTGCAAAAGGCGGTGGATGCCCACGAAAAGTTGATCAAAGAGGCCATTAACGGGCAGGGCATCGATCGGCACTTGTTTGGGCTGCAGGAGATGGCTCTGGAACAAGGAATGTCACTACCGGCGTTCTTTCGCTCCAAGGGTTACGTCAGATCGGTGACCTTTCAGCTCTTCACCTCCCAGGTAGCCACATCCCACGAGGGCTTCATGGCCTACGGACCACTTCTATCCGACGGATACGGCGTCTGCTACAACCCACAGGAAAAGAAGATCACCTTCGCCATCTCCGCTTGGAAAAGTTGCCCGGAAGTCAACGTCATACGATTTGGCAAGGCCATCAAGAAGTCCCTGAACGACATGAGAAAACTAATCCTGAACACAGGAGGCGATCGTATGGGCGAGCATCCGTGTAAATGCGAGAAGGTGCTGCTTTAGAAGGGATTCCCCTATAGATTTCTCTTTAGATACCCTCCAGTGTTACGTTTCTCAACAAGGCAAATATACACTCGTCAACCAAGCCACTTTAACTGCGTTTGGGTTCAGGGTCGTTGAGAAAACGTGCGCACATTACTCAGCCCAAAACCACACTCACCTTTGGCAAAAAAAACACCTGAGACGCGTGAAATTCTCTTCGAGAATATTGGCCTGAGTCAGAGGGAAAAAGTGTGCAGCCAACTCAGATATTTTGACATCGCCCACGGGCTTGTTAATTAGGAAAAAAGCGGTCCGGGGAGGAATAAGTAAGGTTGGGTGATTCAGCTTGGTGGTAATTAAACCGTAGAGCTGTGTAGTGTACGTAGTTCGATAGATTTTTAACTAGTGGGTCTTTTAATAGTGGGTGATAATTACTAATAAAGAGGACCTTGTACTTCCTTCGCTAGGGATGCGCACTCTTGCTATGCTCGGGTCTAGCTCGCCGTAGGTCGGGGTTCTTTTAGCTTAGGATAGTACGAACGCTACTACATTTTTAATAAGTGCGTCTTACTCATAAACAATATTCAAAAGTGGACTACCGGTTAATAAAAGAAATGGCTTTATATTGATACTAATGATACACGCCGACACGTGTGAAGATAAGCTGCAGATTCTGATAAGCATTGGGAATTTTGGATGTTAATGATTCCCTAAGTCTTTACCCTCCCTACCATGACAATGCTACTTAAAATATTTACATTGTCCCTTGGTCAAGTTCAAAATAACTCTACCACATATTTAAGAAAGTGTTCAACATAAGTACTCGACAAACCATTAAATCTATTTATTCACAATTCATTATTTTTCCAATATATCTTCAATCGTAATTCCATTTATATAAATTCAGTTTAATAAGCGGTCTCATTAAATCTCTTTTACCAACTAACAATATTTTTATCTACGCATAATTATCCTAGTCGTTCTCTAACTCTTCATTTTTGCTTATATTCCGTAAGTAAAATAAAATATATAAAAGTAAAGTATAAAGCAAATATATATAAGTAATTGAATATAAAATTAGCAAATATAGAGTTACATAATCTTTAATCAAATGCAGATATTATTTTAATTAGACGTTCGAGTGGCATTTTGTTAGAATTTTAATATAGGTAATTCATAATAAGGTATTTATCATTGTTGTTGTAGTACTCACGACCTTAAATATCCACTCCATGATGTGCGTAAAGTTGGGCCCAAGTTCACGTTGACATTGTCGAGCTGTAGGTCAAACTTTAAAGGTTCTAATTTAAATTCCTATTCAAATGCCAAAAGTTCCGTCAATCTGCGAGTATTTAATTCATTATAAATCGCAATACAAAAGAAAATCGAGAATCAAAACAAAACACGAAATATAACTGCAGTATTGCAGCGATAAGACCTTAGTAAACCGCTGGCTGCTACGCTGCGCTGCGATAAGACGAAATCACAAAGTTGGACCTCCGTTGGTCATAGGCGATGATCTTCACTGCGGGACGATGATGATGTACAAATGTAATTAAATCTGCTCCGGTCGTCTAAACTTCTGCATAGCTGAATAATCTGGACGAGCTCTAGCCTTCCAATACATTTGGTTATCATTCGGCAGGTGGCCGGTTGCGTAATTTGATGCTGAAGGTTATGTCGCCTCGTGGCCTCTTCTTGGAGCGACGGGGTTTAAACCATAAGCTGATGCGGGGGTCGACGAGACGGGGGGGTAGTCGGCTGTAGAGCAATCACATGCTCTTATATATAGGCCTGGTCTTCCTTACGCCTTGGGGTCGAATCTCGTTGCCACTTTCACACACAAATCGAACACGGAAATTTATTGAAATATACCAACTCTTGTTTTATGAGATTGGATATATATATAACTAATTATATTTCCACGTGTATGTGAAGTTAAATGGGCAGCGTCAAAAATGTATGAGCGTTCGCCACGAAGATTTATCCGATAATGATCTAAGCTCTGGGAAGCTGCATGCTGGTGGTCGCTGTTATAGCTTTTGTTTCCCTAACTGTATAATCGTACGATCATATTCTGTTCTGATTGGTCTAAGACAATTCTCTCGCTTTTTGTTTTACACAAAAGCTGCTATAATTTAGGGCGAGGGTGTCTTGAAGAGTTTTTGCAGTGTAAAGTTAAGTTGGTCCCTACAGCTGCCAATACTGCAAATATTTCATTAGAATTAAGTAGTCTACTGTCAAGTAGGAAATGCCTACAAGATCGCTGGGGAACATATCCATTTGGGTGCACCACTGACCCACTTACAGCATGAATGCGGCGCGTTCTTCTCCAGGGGCAAAAAGTCAACCCGCCTTACTTCAACATAAGCTCATATTTGCCTCGCCAGTTCTTATGCAACATTTCCTCTGCTCATTTTATTGCTAAATTAAGTAATTGGTACAAGAAGCCGCATCTCTTCAACCCCCACCTCCCTTGCAATATAAATGCCCTGCTGTGTTTGCTGCGTATCTGCAGAAGTATCTGAGTACGTGTATCTGTGTATCTACCGCTGCATCTGGCACTGCAGAATGAGAAGTGTGCTCTGTGCTCCTCTCTCTTTCGGCTCTTTGGTATTTCACTTCTGCTTTCCATAGTGAATGTGATATGCAGATGCAGATTGCAATTCAGTCCACGAACAGCCAGAAAGAGAGGACTGCACATGATCAAAGTAGTGCAGCTGTACAGATGCTTTCGCATCTGTGAGGTACATCTCTATCCATATATATTATATATCTTAGACTCTACAGCGGAACAATCATTCCAGCGAATTGCGACTTATTTTTCGCCGAATCCCTAGCACTGCCTTGCTGTCATTAGCCGAATTGAAGGCATTCTAATTGGTTCACTCCATTCCGCCGCACTTCGATTCACTTCACTTAAACTTAAATCGCTTAACACTAATTATAAATTGTACTTGAAAATGCTATGCATTGGGCTTATTTTAGGAACTACTAGCTAATAGTATTTGTTTGTTTGTTTTAAATATGTATTTGCACTGCTTATATCATCTTCACCTCAAAAACCTTAGGAGTTCGAAGCCAAATCTTTTCTAAAGATGATTAGCTGATATACCTTATAAGCCGAAATTAGCTCACTTTGCCAAACTCACCGTGTGAATCACATGCATTCGAGTTCGGCGGTGGGCGTGGTCGTGGTCAGCCCTCCTCTCACGTGCTGCTCGTCATCGCCGGCCGCAATCTGATCTCATTTTAATCACGGCTAATGAATGTCAACACTAATTGCCACTTGAGAGGCAACACTCGGTGGGACGGGGCGGGACGGGGCGGGGCCCCAAAGGGGTGGACCCCAAAAGTGATCTCAAACAAAACAAAGTTAACAAGCAGCAAACAGAAAAAGACGCAAACAAAAGGCAAACAAAGCTGCGAAAGCCTAATTACTGGTTGTTATAACTATATGGGGCACAAACCTCTCCTTTTTCGTGGGGCTGAGGGAAAAAGAGTCGAAGGGCGAAGGAATGCGTCACTTAAACGACTGGATATTTACAAAAATTTACACAAATTAATTAACCAATTAAGTGAACGTAGAGCAGACAAGTTCGGTCATTAATCATGGAGTGTTTCTATGACCAACCCCCCTCCAAAGGCCCCTCAAGCTAATGAAGTGGTAAAAACTCAATTCAAAAACGCTTTAATGGGTTTATTCAAGAGTGATAGATGGATTAATCGATGTTTGGAATTGTCAAAGCCCTAAGCAGTATCTAACCCTATTAAGAGTTCGCCACTCTATGGGATCTTTGGTATTATACGACTAATTTGGTGGCATTTATTTATACAAACTTGATTCTTGTGTGAGATTTGTGTTTAGTATAGGTAATAAGGAGAAATGATATTCTATATTGGATTAAGTTTAGGTTTAATGGTGCGGTATGCTATGTGCAATTTGTAAATTTATAACTAGTATTTCTATAACATTAATATGATTAAATCATACCATTAAAATTTGTGCCTGAATGAGGTTTTTGCTTCTATCGGAAGAATTAATGTAAATATAATATCTTATAACTTTAATGGTAATGGCCCTGTGTTGCACTTTTTGTTGATATTCAAAATTTGTTGATTTTTGCATTAATTTAAGCGAAAATATCTTAATTCCATGATTGCAAGTGCAGGCAGATGGAATCAAGCTTTTCGCCGGCCACATGGCGTATGAGTAATCAGCCTTAGCACAGCCTTAGCCATTTATGGAGCGCCTGCAGCATCGATCTTGACTTGGCTCTAAAGCCTCTTGGACAACGTATTCGATTCAACGAGTGTTTGTTTGTTTGTTCGGTTGTTTGCTCGCTTGGTTGCCCGCTTGACTTGGCGTGGCTCTCGGCTGCGATTCCGATTCCGAGCTCGTTCCAATCCGTGGCCATTTGGTGCCATGTCATGCTCCGCGCTGCAGTTGGCCAGCTTGCGAGGATAGCCTGCGACCAAGTTGGGGTCGCAATTCTTTATTTGTATTCCGAGTAATTGTCGTCGCTGCTGTCGCGGTGATGTCATCCGGCAGGTAGATATACATAGGTGCCAAAAGGTGACTTTTTGCAGCAGTCATCGTGGCGAGCTGCTTGTCGTTGATGGATTCGTTGAGGCGAATCTCGGATTGGATTGGATTGGATTGGATCCGATTGAATTGGCCAGAGTAGGTGCTCTTGTCTTGGCCGCTTGCTGCGCATTTTGACCAATTTTAGCCAAACTCAATTAGTCTTAACTGATGTTTCGTTTGTGCTTTTTATAGAACTCTGAGAAAACAAGGAGCGGGTGCTCATGGGTGCTTTCTGATATCATTGGGGTCAAGGACGGGGTTCAGCACCCAGTCCCAGAACGGAGATCTCGAAATCGTGGCTGCTGCGCAATTCAAAGAAAGCCGTGCACATAAATTCAGTTGGCTAAATGTGCACATACATCGGAATATACAGCATTCTGAGCTGGCTTCGATTCAGCGTCTTTAATTAGCGCTGAAATTAAACTTTTTTTGGACTTGAGCTTTTTTCCTTTCATTTGTCGCATTACCTGAGGCTCAATTTACCCAACTCTCGGGCACTCAGTTCGTATGGGA